TACTAGTGCTGAGAGTGGTCCGATCATTTGATCTATCCAGTGGCTAGCGTTAGTGAAGAGGAGAGCTGAAGAGCCTGGGTAGTGATGTCACCCATAGGCTTGCTATGGGGTATCTGTTCTCAGCTGTCCCTCCTCTACTGTGAATCCGGAACTGGGACATGATCATGTCAAAGGGGCGGAGGGGCCTCAAAATAGGTGAGTATACACTTTTCTCCTTTACAGAATAGTTAGTAAAGGCTAATAATGGGGGTGTGAGTAGATTTAGGCTTAGATAATATTGCTTGACATTTTAGTATTATAAAGTTATATCATTTTGAAACATACTACACTATATTTGGTATTTAGATTTTTGCCATTTGGGAGTATGTGCAGTGGATGGATTGAAGGGAAGAGGAGGAAAAGAGGAGGAAAAGAGGATTCATTTGTATACAATGCCCTATTGCTTGATGAATCTGGTGCATAAGGAGACCAATGTTTTATATGGACTTCTTGATGTACATTGCATTGGTTTAATATAGATGAATTGGTCTGACTTGGTCTCTGAAAGAAGATAAGACTTACAAGAAAAGTAGTTGTTTTAGTAGGGGTGTTGGCATGCTGTTTATACAGATAAAGGTGCAACAACCAATCTTATATAATGTCATATGCTGTGACTAGTGGTTCTACTACTAGATTCAAGTGTGTCCTGCTACATGCACTCTGGATATATTGAGAGCCTTCTTTAAAACGGGTGCTGCGGTACTTCCTTTTTGCGTCTGATGTCACTTCCTCTGACGTGTTTCAGCATCAAATTGACTACCTCATAGGCTGTGAACATCAGGTTTGTTGAGATCATCTATTTATAGGGAGTCTACCTCCACCCCTCTTGAAGACATCATCAGCCATTTTACTTGGACCCTAATGATTCAATACGTGCTGCTGTATGCCTTACTTTATTTACTACGTTCCACTTCTATAATATGCTACACAACTGGCATTAATAAAAACATCTTGTGTCAGATGCAAAGTGACGTCAGACGCAAACCGGAAGTACCGTGGCTGTCATTTTAGAGAAGGCTCTATGTATCTGGAGTTCATGTAAGCAGGATTTTAAGCAATACAGTGTTTCTATGTATACTGCTGCACTAAGTTTTTTTATTTTCAATTATACATGTTCGGAGGATGTGGCACAATGGAATATAGAGAAGAGGGGATACTGGAGCAACATGGAAGAGTTTTCTGAGAGGCACATTTTCAATTTGCACAGGGTAAGGTGCATGACCTGGAGGGGAGGTGAGCAGTACTGGTGATTGGAACACAGGGGGTGGATAATTCACTTGATATGTTGAAAAGATTGAGAGGAAGAATTGTGGAGAAGACAGATATATAGATTGATGCACAGAATTTGTGATGGAGGGTAAGGGTAAATATAAAGGATGGTGGTTGGTGTTTTGATCACATGTAGAAGTTATTTGGAGCACGTTATTTCCCTGGAAAAGTGAGCACATTGATATATTATAAAGTTATATAATTTGGGAACACACTACACTATATTTGTTATTTAGATTTTTGCCTTATTATGTGCAGTGGATGGGATAGAAGAGAAGAGGAGGAAAAGAGGATTGATTTGCATACAATGCCCTATTGCTTGATGAATCTGGTGAGTGCATAAGGAGACCAATGTATTATATTGATTCTTGCTGTGCATTGCGCTGGTTTAATATAAATTAATAATATGCATACATCAGTGTTCACAGGAAGATAGAACATCCATTCAGACCTGTCCATGAGGACTCTGCTGTTTAAGGAGGCTCTGATGTGTAAAGGGGTGTGGCCAGCTGAACTGCAATTTGCTTGTGAGGTCTTTTTAGGTTCATCCCTAAACCTGGTGGCTGGTTGCTTCTTCCTGCCTCTGGAGGAATGTTCCAGAAATAGTGTAGAAGAGTCAGTCACTGGATTATGAATATTTATCTGACCAGAGGCCCAGAAGTTGTGGCTGGGGAGAAGATACATTTTTGGGAGGCTCTGATTAGAGCTCTCTCTCTTTTGGGGTCTCCCTCGTGGGAGCTAGCCTGTGTATGATACATAACAGCTAATGATGTTAAGTCTAAACAGATGCTATGGCTGTAGGTCTGAAACATGCTGGATTTAAGGAAACTTGCTGAGAGAGGGAACCCTTTCACTGAAGAGTGTTGCAAGATAGCTGGTTGGGAGGTGCCCCTGGACATTGTGAAGGACATTTCCCCTGGACATGTGTGAGAGTATGCCAGAAGTTGCTGTAAGGATTGTGACTGCTCACATAGAGTCTCAAATTGACTAGCTGTCCTCCCCACCATCAGCATTACTGTGAATTTGTTACAATAGGGCCCAATACTGCCAAAGCAGGAATCTGTCCACATATATCTGCATATGCTTTTGAGTATCCTGCCCTCTGCACTCTCATCCCTCCCTCCTACTTATGTTCAAAATCTTCAAAAGCCAACCCTAGACTGAGCCTGCATTTTTTCAGTGTGCTTCTGGAGCTGGGACCAGGGCTGGTGGCCTCTGAACAAGTAAGGGAAACCTGTATATTCTCAGTGACCTTTCGAATGTGAACGCTACAGGGGGAGTCTGATGTCTAATAAATATATTCCCAGTGTAAGGGGACTTCCTGATGTTGATAGGGGATCTCTATTGTAAAAGGGTGATGCTGATGTGTAAGTGGAGACTCTGATGTGAATGGGGGGGGGAGACTTTTGTATTTACAAACTGCCATGGGCCAAAGCAGACTGTGTACAGGGATTACATTTCAGCACTTGCCATAGGCACTATTTTCTGTAGATTTGCCCCAAATAGTCATCAACGTATATGAGAAATACCTTTTATTCCCTGCAGTCTTGAGTTTTCATAGAACAACATAGAATTGAGTGAATTAATGGCTTCTGTGCTGCCCAATAGCAGAAATGCTGCTACAGGGTGGCACAGGTGTGCATAATCATGTATGTATATATATATATATATATATATATATATATATATATGATTTTGCACTTCCAGGTAGGGGGTGCGCGTGAGCCACGTGCGCGCCGTACCCGTGCCACTATTCATGGCTGCGGCTATCAATCACTAGGTCCCAGCCAGTAATAACTCACTGGCGCCCCACGGGTAGGAGGACTGTTTTGTTTACTAACAGGCCTTCTCACTGTCATCTCAGGCACACTGCTCTGGATGGCTGTGCACAGCACAGCACATCCAGAGCAGTGTGATTACAGTGAAGAACACTGACTTGGCCCCCTGGAAAAACACTATCTGTACACAGTTAACCCTTTGATCACCCTCATGTTAACCCCTTCCTGCCAAGTGCCATTAGTACAGTGTCAGTGCTTTTTTTTTTTAGCACTGATTACTGTATTGGTGTCACCAGGGATGTCAGTGACACCAAGTCAGTTCCCCCTAGTGTCAGAATGACTGTCGCAGTCCCACAGTCCCGCAATAAGTTGCTGATCGCCACCATTACTAGTAAAAATTAAAAAAAAAATTCCAGCATCTATACCTCCATTTGTAAATGCTATAACTTTCACATAAACCAACTAATTTACATGTATTGGGATTTTTTTTTAGCAAAGACATTTAGCAGAATACATTTTTGGTGTAAATTTATGACAAAATTAAATTTTTTAAATTTTTTTACTGGACATGTTTAATAGCAAAAAGTCAAAAATATTGTATTTTTCTCAAAATTGCGCAAAATATATAAAACGCACAAGCTATCAAATACCACCAAAAGAAAGCTCTATTCGTGGGAAAAATGGACGTAAATTTCATTTGGGTGCAGTGTTGCATGACTGTGCATTTGTCAGTTAAAATAATGCAGCGCCGTAACGCAAAAAATGGCCTGGTCAGGAAGGGGGTAAATCCTCAGGAGGGCAAATGGTTAAGTTTAGGGGCTGTCAGGTACTACTTTTGCTACTTTAGGAAAACATTTCCTGGTCTTTTCTTTCCTTTATGCAGCTGGTACACTTCATTATTGGACTGCATGGGTCAAATTTTATGCCACTGACATTTTTATAGTTTAAGGAGTCTGTGTCCAAGGCAACAGTGCCAGGTGTGGATATAGCTGAAATGTTTTTCTTCTTCAGTGTTAACCATTTCACTGAAATCCAGCTAAAACAGTTCATTTTGATTTTACTTTAGCTAGCATGCGGTTTCCTTTTGCAAAAGTACAGCTGTTACCGCAAAATATCACTATGTTTCCTTCCTTGATGAGTTTCTTCACTGACAATAGGTTACTTTTTAAGAGCAGGACTATATAGTACATCTTTGAAAGGTATCTTTCTGATGACTGTTTGGGATAGAGGGCAGTGTAGATAACCTTCCCTTATTCCTTCTGAAACCATATACTGTCAGTTAGCTGTTGTAATTCTTTCTGTCTTACTTTGATCAAGCTGAATGGAGAAATTTTTAACATTGGTCATATGACTTGGAGCTCTGGAGTCCATGCACCAGGTGAAAAATGATGGAGTGAAAGGCACATTCAGTATCTAAAGCGTCTTCTATTCTTTAACACTTTTGTTGTGTAACGAGTCTCTATTTCTGATTTATTATAGCCTTTGAATTTCTGCAATTGCTTTAATTGACCTGTCTCTTTGCATATAAAGCGCATGCATTCACATGATTACGTTGCATAATTTTATCATTGCAGCAGTTGGTTATTAGAGCAAATTCAGCAGTAGTAGCATTTGCACTGTTTTCCTTTATATTCTCATTCAGTAATTTTTATTGAAGCATACTACTGAGAAAATACAGCAGTTAAAAAAAGACATAGTGTCATTGCAAGTTAACAAATTTTAATAGGAGTAAATCACTACACAGAGGACATAAAGGGTTCCTGATATACTTGATGTGACAAGCAGTTTGAATTTCAGATAATCAGTGATAATACACTATATTGTCAAAAGTATTGGGATACCCCTCCAAATCATTGGATTTGGGTGTTCCAATTACCATCATGGCCACAGGTGTATAAAATCAAGCACCTAGGCATGCAGACTGCTTCTACAAACATTTGTGAAAGAATGGGTCACTCTCAGGAACTCAGTGAATTGAAGCGTGATATTGTGAAAGGTTGCCACCTGTGCAGTAAGTCCATCCGTGAAATTTCCTTGCTACTAAATATTCCATGGTCAACTGTTAGTGGTATTTTAAAAAAGTGGAAACAACTGCGAAGAACAACAGCAACTCAGCCACAAAGTGGTAGGCCACGTAAAATTACAGAGCGGGGTCGATGCATGCAGAAGTTGACAACTCTCTGCAAAATCAATAGCTAAAGACTTCCAAACTTCATGTGACCTTCAGATTAGTACAACAACAATGTGTAGAGAGCTTCATGGAATGGGTTCCCATGGTTGAGCAGCTGTATCACCTTACATCACCAAGTGCAATGCAAAACATTGGATGCAGTAGTGAAAAGCACACTGCCACTGGCCTCTAGAGCAGTGGAAACATGTTCTCTGGAGTGACAAATCACGCTTCTTTGGGATCCGATGGACGTGTCTTGGTTTGGTGGTGGCAGGAGAATGGTACTTGCCTGACTGCTTTGTGCCAAGTGTAAAGTTTGTTGGAGGGGGGTTATGGTGCAGGGTTTTCAGGGGTTGGGATTTCCTCTTAGTTCCAGTGAAGGGAACTCTTAAGGCGTCAGCATACCAAGACATTTTGGACAATCTCATGCTCCCAACTTTGTGGGAACAGTTTGGGGATGGCCCCTTCCTGTTCCAACATGACTGCACACCAGGGCACAAATCAAGGTCCATAAAGACATGGATGAGTGAGTTTTGGGTGATGGAACTTGACCAGCCTGTACAGAGTCCTGACTTCAACACCTTTGGGATGAATTGGAGCGGAGACTGTGAGCCAGGCCTTCTCATACGTCATCAATGCCTGACCTCACAAATGCGCTTCTGGAAGATTGGTCAAACATTCCCATAGACACACTCCTAAACCTTGTGGCCAGCCTTCCCAGAAGAGTTGAAGTTGTTATAGCTGCAAAGGGTGGGCCCACTCAATATTGAACCCGACAGACTAAGACTGGGATGCCATTAAAGTTCATGTGTGTGTAAAGGCAGACATCCCAATACTTTTGGCAATATAGCGTATTTATCTCAGCACTAAAGAACAAGTTAGAAAGAGCAGAAAGAAAAAGAAAGAGAGAGAAAAGGAGGTGGGGGAAGGGAATTGCCCCGTGTTGGTCTCCAAGGCAAAACTAGGTATCACAGGTCGACTAGCATATGAAGTCTGCTGGCATAAAATGTGTGACCTGTATATATATGATTAAGCCTGCACCTGTTTAGAAACATGCAGTGCACCTTTCCTGTGACCGCTGTGTCCACTGGACACAGTGGATCAATGTTACCGGGTATCATGTGATTGCAATATTTGGTCATAGCGATCATATGATAACAATGTAATGAATGGCTTTCTATTCATGAACAGCTTGCTTTTTATTGTGACCTGTGATTGGCCCACATCAATCACATGGTACCTTGCTACCTGCACCATGTGATTAGCTTAGCCAATATATAGTTACATAGTTAGTCTGGCTGAAAAAAGACAAAAGTCCATCCACTTCAACCATAAAGAAAAAAAAGAAAAAAAATGTTATAATCCTATACCCACAGTTGATCCAGAGGAAGGCAAAAAAACCCCAGCAAAGCATGACCCAATTTGCTCCTGCTGGGAAAAACATTCCTTCCTGATCCCCCGAGAGGCAATCGGGTATTCCCTGGATCAACTTTACCTATAAATGTTAGTACCCAGTTATATTCTGTGTATCCAAGAAATAATCCAAGTCTTTTTTGAAGCAATCCACTAAACTGTCCAGAACCAACTCTTCAGGGAGTCTATTCCACATTTTCACAGCTCTCACTGTGAAGAAACCCCTCCGTGTTTGGAGATTAAATTTATTTTCCTCCAGATGTAAAGAATGCCCCCTTGTCCTCTGTGATGACCTCAGAGTGAATAGCTCTACACCGAGTTCACTATATGAACCACTGATGTATTTATACATGTTGATCATATCCCTCCTTAATCTCCTCTTCTCAAGAGAGAATAAATTCAGTTCCTCTAATCTTTCCTCATAGCTGAGCTCCTCCATGCCTCGTATCAGTTTGGTTCCCTTGTCTGTACTTTCTCAAGTTCCCCAATGTTCTTTTTGTGAATTGGTGCCCAAAACTGAACTGCATATTACAGATGAGGTCTTACTAATGATTTGTACCGGGGGTAATATGATATCTCTCTCTCTGGTGTATATACCTCTTTAATACAAGAGAGGATTTTGCTCGCTTTAGAAACCGCAGCTTGGCATTGCATGCCATTGCATGCCATTATTAAGCTTATGATCTATCAGAACTCCCAGATCCTTCTCCACCATTGATTCCCCCAGTTGTACTCCCCCTAGTATGTATGATGCATGCATATTCTTAGCCCCCAAGTGCAGAACCTTACATTTATCAACATTAAAACTCATTTTACACATAGTTGCCCAATTAAACAGTGCATTGAGGTTGGCTTGTAAGTTGAAGACATCCTGTAAGGACATTATAAGCCAATCACTGATCACATTAAAAAGCTAGCTGTTCATGAATGGGAAATTCATTCAGGGCAGCTAAAGCTATTGCTTATACAATGATGTTCACTGTATACGCAATAACAGTGTAAGAAAAAAAAAATTGCCGCACGCATATTCTAAATTGTGGCGTGTTTCTCTGTGAGTCTGGAACATGTGCAATTTCACCTGTATTTCCCAGCTCCAGAGATGGGAATGCCTAGGAGCAGAGGGTGCTGTGATCTGAAGGATTTTGAGTCGTATCACAAAGTTGTGATTCAGACCTCTGCTGGAAGGACATTTTACTAACTGGACCTCTGCAAATTTTAATTCAGTACCCTGATATATAGCATAGTTTGTAGACACTCTAACTTTCACACACACCAATTAATATACATTTATTGGGATACATTTTGGCCAAAACGTATTAAGAAATTAGATTTTTAAAATATTTTTATTGGATATGTTTTATTACAGAAAAAAAAATATTGTTCTTTTTTCAAAATTGTTGGTCTTTTTTTCGTTTATATAATAAAAAATAAAAAAACAGGTTGTGATCAAATACCATCAAAAGAAAGCCCTATTTGTTTAAAAAGAATATAAACATTTGGGTACAGTGTTGCACGACTGCACAATTGCCAGATAAAGTAGCGCAAAGGGGGTAAAACCTTCCAGAGCTCAAGTTGTCAATGAGTGGGAATCAGTTAGCTATGCTTGTGCAATAGATTTTTTAGTAGCTGTGAGAACATGGATCATTAGTTTAAATTGGCACTATCCAATTTAAATTGAGAAGGGCTTCAGCTGTTTTTGCTTATGTTCATCCACATGCTTGCTTTTATTATACACCAGGGTAAGCTCATCATCTGAGCAAACATCAAGTACTGTAATAAGTGTCTCATCTGCCTAGGAGACCACTGGGCAGCAGTGCTGATATGTGAAAGTCCTTTATTTTTCTATCCTATACTGTATCTCATAGGTGTTCTATCATTTTAAAGGTACATTTCCTATAGTCCTGCATGTGTGGGTCTGGTATAGCTCTCCAATTAATTAAAATTTATTGCAAATATGTTCTGTGCGATGTACTATCTGTAGCTCCTTTCACATTTCTTTTGCATTTTCAGACTTGCATACAATATGTGCGCAATTCGATCATCATCTGTGCTCAGGGATATAATACTTTGAGCTTTCTGTGCTCAATGCTAGTGTAGCGCTCTATAGGTAGGTAGGTTTATTGTGTTAGTTAGAGGCTGGGTAGCAGCCTGGGGTGAGTCAGCCTGAGAGTGAGGCAGGAGTTTACTTCAGGATGGGCTGGGTGGCTCTACAGGTCAGGGTTTTTGGAGCCCTCCCACCCTTATAGAAACTTACAGAACTTTCTGGAAGAGAGGCGGAGGAGGGAGAAGGCCCAGATTTGCATGTTTGAGAGCACTTGGCCAATCCCTAGGCAGGAGGTCGGGCATGATGACCAAGGACAGCCCTTAATATGGTAGAGCTTGAACAGACGGAGAGTTGGGTGGAAGATGGATTGAGAGAAGGCTGGATTGTGGAGCCTAGGAAGGAGCCCCAGTGAGAGGAGCCTACCTACAAGCAGGATGCTGGAAAGGAGGATCTCCACTGCCCAAGGTCTCTTAGGGAGGACATCCTGAGCAGCAGGGAATTAGCCAGCCCAAGGCCTGAAAGCAAATATCAACCCACCACACTGACAGGACAGGACGGTGTGAGTGCTCCTTCACCCCTGGGCGGACAGGTGCAGGACTCAACTAGTTCTCATCCGGAACTACTTAAATGCTAGATCTAGGAATCCCTTGCCCAGGGATACCCTCAGTGCAGCCGGGTGAAGAGGAAGGATTAATCTGGGGTCTGAGGTGGTACACCAAGGGGACTTTAGAGCTCCTTAAAAAGACAGTGCTATTTTTGTGGATCTACATTTTGTACAGTGTTGCTAAGACGTTTGTCTTCAAGTTTACAGTTCCTTGGACATCCCATATACCCCATCTAAATTGTTAACCCCTTAAAAAACCAACTAAAAACCAACTCAATGACTGTATTATTGACTCTGGATGCAAAATGTGGAAAAATGCATGTTGCTTGGCTGTACAGAGCTTAGGGGGACCCAAACAAATTCAGCGGCCCTAGAGAGGGCAGTGGTACATTAGATTGTTTTGATCTAGGCTTTTGTATGCACTTCTATGGACTCTTTCTTAACAGCAGCAGCAGCAGCATCATTTTTAACTTTCAGGACTGGTAGTTATATGTGTTTTGTGAATTTTTTTTCAGGGGCTATGTTGCTGGCACTATACACTGTATCTGTATCTGCAGCAATATTAGCTTGTAACCTGTTGGAAAACTGCTGCAGATGACACTTACCAGTCTGATGGTGATGGGCAAATGGTAGAGCTCTTCTTGTTTTTATTGGAAAACAGGAATATAGAGACAGGAAATTGCACCATAACCATGTAGACCTACTAGGAAGAACATCAAGTTATACAAGCACTAAACATAACATTTTCACCTAGTAGTAGAACCACTAAACACAGTATAAGAATATTCGTCGAACCACACGCTAATGTCTAGGTCTAGCTGTTTTCCAAATATATTTCTAGGTCTCTTTAAATTGCAAATATTGAGTACATCTCTGGAAAACATGTACATTTCAAATACCTGTAAATCTGTCAGAAATCCTTTGTGCTACTAATACCGAATCCTGTGCAAATATTCTGTGTTGGACTACAGAATGTCCCCCATCTCTCCCTGTAAGGGTCAGCTGTTTTTTCCTGTACTTACAGTGTTTTTAAAGAGACAAAGCACAGGGAAACGTGCATATATTGCAGTTATGTACTAAATATGTGTGTTTTTAACTTTATCTCTTTATTGTTATAAGAATGAATATATGT